AATGCTTTTGTACTTTGAAACAGATTTTATAGTTACATTTTTGATAAATCTTTATATTAACTGCAATTTCAAAATAGGTTATTATAAATAGGTAAATCGATTTTCGGTAATTACGTGGTGATTTTTGTTTTAGTTTTTTCTTTGTAATTATGATATCATAATTTCATTACTTTTTTATTTTAGGTTTACGTTATGACGCATTTATATGATTATTAAATAAAAAAACCTGATTTCCTTTTATTATAAATTTTTGTTAGTTAAAAAGATATAAATATATGCTATTAGTTAAACTTTTTTTACATTTTATCTATTTTATGCCTAATAATTTGTTGTACGCATTTTAGGGGATCTTTGTAAATCGGGGGTCGTAACTAAAAACCTTTAAAAACATGGAGAATATTGTAGTTTTGCGCATTTAATATCGAGTTACTTAATTTTTATGTGTTTAACTATTTAGTTAGCTTAGTCTGTATTTACAACACTTTTGAGGAAAGAAAAAAAACATTCTTATATATGTAAATCATTGTTTTACATTTTATTATTTTGGTAAAAGGTCTTCATCAAAAACATGATTACTCTTAATAAAAAAAACTCTACTCACCTAGCCACCATTAGAGCAAAATGAGGGGATAAACGTCTTTATTAGTGTCAAAATATTTAGGAAAATTAAATTTTGAGTTACAAAAAGAATTTTTAGTAAATGGTGGCAAATTACCGTTTACTACAAATTAATGAAATAAAGAGGCTAAACAAATAATATAAAAATGGTCTGTGTTGAACAGACTTAACAAGACCCGGGTCGGGTCAGCTTGGTTTACAAATTTTTATGTCTACTTATTTTTTATAATTTTTTTTAAGGTTTGTATTATGATGCATTAATGCATTAAGTTTACATATTTTTTCAAATTTGTTATACCCATGTTTGATTGTAAATTAATTTTTTTTTGTTTAAAACGTATTTGTACTCAGTTGCTTAGTTATTTATAATAAACTTAGTTATTTTTAATAAATTATTTAGTTGTGAGCATTTAACATTTTTAAGTTAACAACTTTCTTTTCATAAAGAAAAATTAATCAATGGGTACCAAAAAATTGATAACTCCTGTACAATATAAGTTAACTTCTTTTTAATCTTAATGGTTCATGTTATAAAAATTATTAACATGGATTTAGTTGATACTTTCATCAATTTAAAGCATAATGAAATGTTATTATTTTGTGTCAGTAACTAAAAACGTATTGTGTTAAACTTAGGAAGGTTGATGAAAATGGTTCTGCCTTACACTATTGTGACCTATGTCAGTTGTAAATTACTCAAATAATGTTAAGTTGTAATTGTAATTGTTAAATAGTAGTTGGTAAATTATTTTATCTCCTCATACTTTTTATGTTAATTTTACAGATGGATTATTTTTTCAAGCTGAAGACGTTTTTCTAAAAGGGTATTAGTTAAGGTTTTGCAACATTAAATTGTGAAAAACAGCCACTATAAATTAATTATGTAACAGACCAACCAAAACCCGTATTATGGGTTGCTTTTTGATAGTATATATTATAACCGCACCTTTATATGATATTTACATGACTTACATGTATACTAAATATATATTTGCTTTACTTGCTTGCCAATCGTCGCATACAGCAAATTCAATGAGCCGAGTTTCAAGGAAATAAAAAACATGTTGTATAACTGTTGTAAGGTAGGATTGTTCAATATTTTGAAAATGATTGCATGTAATGAGTCCAATTGTGCACATATGTAATTATTTTATTTAAACATTTTAAAAATAAATTTAAAATAAAAATATTTGTATTTTTTATTTTTATTTCTTATTTCAACTAAAAAACTTTCCAAAAAAAAAAATTTTTTTAGACTCATTTCTTTAACAGCTGATTAAAAAATTATAAATATTTAACAAAATAGTTAATGAATAGCAGAGAACTAGTCTTGTTTTTTATTAAACAATCAAATAGTCACATAAAATAACATAAATAAATTGTCGGTATGATCCAAAATGAAACTAAGGTTTTCAGGAAATTATTGGTGCTGTACCTTATAAATTAACTTTCCTTTATTTGACGATAAAACGTTATTTCTTTTTATTTATTTTTTTATGAATTTAAAATGTAGTTTTCTAACCGGTCGGCATAATGCTAAGTGGAAGAAAAAAAAAAAGGTCAACAGGAATTTATTGGTACTGTACCTTAAGAAGTCAATTTCTTGACTTTGACAATAAAACGTTAAGTTTCCAATTGGCTATTTTTTGTTCTGGATATAAAGTGTACTTCTCTAACCGTTATGTGCAAAACAAATCGAAAATTCAGTAATTCCGTGCTCGCATTTATACATGTTTTAATCAAGAAAACAAAAGTTTACGGTATTAAGATTGCAAAATTAAAAAAGTTATAATTTTGTTATAATATTGCAATAACCTAACCGTATTATAAAACTTAAAGTGTTCATAATTTTTATATTGTAACAGATAAAATGCGGCCGTGGCGCAATGGGTAGAGCGCTTGCTTTACAAGCAGGAGATCCAGGTTCAAAACAAGCTTTGGACATATTTCGCGTCACGGTAAGGAAGGAGGCGTGAACCTCCTAGTTAAATGCACTTTCGCGGAGCTCTGCGACAAGACCGTAAGGACTTGTCGCAGACCTAAATAACAAAAAAAAAAAGATATCTCAAAATACGCGCGTTGCACCGTGGATCAATTTGTCATGCCGTGATAATCCTTTTTTTTTTTTGTAATAACTGATAAAATACAAAGTATAAAATAAAATTTTATCCTAAAGAACATAACGACGGCTAAATCTGTAGACAAGATAACTCCCGTGCACAAAACTGTGCAGGAGAGACAAACGTATTTCATATATACATTTACATGGATTTTTATTGTTGTTTTTCATTTATAAATATTAATAACTTAACGCTTCCGCTGAATGCTCACGATTCGTGCGCGTTTATACACGGAGTTTTATGAGTATACTTGGCCTTTTAGATATTTCTCTTTTAGACCACGCGATGAGGTACTATTGAATCTGTTAATATCTGTTTAATCAGTCATCAGTAATAAGATCGAAAACTTTGCTTCATCAACTTAATTATTAATAAGTAATAATTAGTAATAATTTTAATTTTTAAATTAAAAGTGACTCTAAAAGACGATGTTCTTTTCAAGAGGTCAAACTCTTGATAAAGTTAGTGTTATATATATCTCCTAAACTCATGCGTCTCACGCAGTTACTTGTTAAAGAACAATAAAGAACAACGTTAAATACCTTACCTTTAAAGAAGTTAAAAAAAAATCTGTTTGCTTTTATATAAAAAACCAGATTGTTTGTTTTTCCAATTTGTTAAACATTTATTATACGAGGTATGTCATTAAACAAAAATAAGGTTGTATTTGTAAAATTTCTAAATTATATATTTTTCTTGATTTATATATTTTTATATATATTAATTTATATTTATGTATTATTTATGTTAATGTGTTAGGCTATATGGGTTTATAGTTTGTAAGTGTGTAAATATCATTTATGTGTTAGTAAATATCTTTTCAAATTGTTGTGACTTGGCTTAGTTTACAGCAAAAGTGTTGATTTTGCTAGCTAAGTGGTGTAGTTTGCTATAATGTGAATATATATATATAATATATATATAATATATATATATATATATATATATTATATATATATATACACATATATATATATATATATATATATATATATATATATATATATATATATATATATATATATATATATATATATATATATATATATATATATATATATACAATACATATACATATACATAATATATTATATAATATATATATATATATATTATATATATATATATATATATATATATATATATTATATATATATATATTACATTCTACAAAAAGAGTGCTCAATTATAAAAATATATATATATATATATATATATATATATATATATAATATATATATATATATATATATATATATATATATATATATATTACATTCTACAAAAAGAGTGCTCAATCAACAGAGCAATAATAAATTTAAATAAACAAATTATATATATATATATATATATATATATATATATATATATATATATATATATATATATATATATATATATATATATATATATATGACATATATACAAAAAAATATATAAAATTAAAGTGTCTATACATATATTATATGTTTAGAATATATATTATTGACTTTTTTTCTTTAGAATATTAGATATCTATACAAAAATTAAAATAGCTAAACAAGTTTCTTCACTTAAATCAAATATATGATTGTTTATAGAGATTTTCTTTTATTAGTTTTGTATTGTTTATTGCAAATCTTGCATTAAATGCGTTTCAAAGTAATGACAGGGTTTTTATGATGAATATATATACCCAGCAAATATGTCAGCGTTGAATCAACGTTGAAAACCGGTCGCAAAAGATGTTGTGGAAACGTTGACAAAGTAATCGATTTTGCAAAGATATGTAACGTTGTAAAAAAGTTGTTGATTAAACGTTGTAGCGTAACGCTGAAAAAACGTTACTAAAAGACATTACAAAAATGTCGCAACTAAACGTTGAAAAAGTGTTACTTAAAAAGCGTTGCATGAGCGTCGCAATTTAACGTTGAAAAAACGTTACTTGAAAAGCGTTAATTTTACGTTGTTAAAGCAGTCGATTTTGCAAGGATTTTTAAGCGTCGATTTAACGTGACTCAAAGACGTCGAGTAAAGGTTGAAATATAACGTTGAACCAATGCTTAAATGCACTGGAGAAAACATCGCAAAATGTTATTAAATGTAATTAAATAATGCTATGATATATATTGAATTGGCAAATAAAACTAAATTGTATGTTGAGCTCTGTACTTGTAAAATTTCTAAAAACAATTTTTAATACAAACAGTAATATGCAATAAAAAATTTAAAAATATACAATTTATTTACATAAAATATACAATTTAAAGATATATAGATAAAAATATAAACATTTTTTTAAAAGATTAATTTGTGAAAGTGTATTACCAAGATATCGATTCGATAGGTCAGGATATTATTGAGATACAGAATCTAAATCAAAAAATATAATTTGTATCATTAGCAGTCTGATAGCAAATGTTTAAAACAATGTTCTTGAATTAAAATGATCATTATTAAATTTAAAAAGTAAAAATAAATATATATAAAAAAAATTTATATACATATATATATATATATATATATATATATATATATATATATATATATATATATATATATATATATATATATATATATATATATATATATATATATATATATATATATATATATATATATATATATATATATATATATATATATATATATATATATATATATATTATATATATATATATATATATATATATATATATGTATATATATATATATATATATATATATATATATATATATATATATATATATATATATATATATATATATATATATATATATATATATATATATATATATATATATATATATATATATATATTTATATATATATTGATCTTCGTAATAGCATAAAATAAGTAACTATTTCTAAAAATAATACAATGTCTTTTATTCTTGAAATGTTTAGTAAATGACCGGGGTTGATATTTGACCGGGGCCAGGTTTGATAAAAAATAGTCAAGACCGGGTTTGTAACCAGTGCTGCATAAACATTTATACATCCTAAAGTACATTTTTTTAAATTTAAAACTCATTTTATATTTTGTATATATATGCATTTACATATACATGATCATCATAATCATCATCATCATCAACAGCATAAAAGCAAAAAGCTTGATGATGATAAAGAAAATTATGATGATGATGATCATCATCATCATAATTATGATCATCATCATCATCATCATTAGGTTTTAGCCTTACTTTTTTAAGATGTTTTCCTAATATAAACAATCTAGTACACTTTTATTTCTAACTAAAGCTCATTTATACAATATGTAAGGTAAACTCTTTAACTTTTCTTACTTCTATACATTTTATACTGAAGCTGCTGCCACTCTACATGTTGATACCTAAATTACTTTAACCTTTTTTTAAAAAAAATCTAAGATAATGCCTTCTTTTTATGTCTTGTTACACCACACATCCATCTGATCATCTTCCCTTTTGGCAAATACTACACCATATACGTACTCAAGTTTATACAGCAATGAAAGGATATTGTATGCCAGCATCTAAACAAATAGCAAACAGATATGATAATATCCGTAATGTGTGTGCTAAAAGTGCATCTTGGAGACTTATATTGCTTCTGGAATAAAAGTTTGGAAGCTTTTATTACTTCTCTTCAGTTTTAAGTCGAGCCACATTCGACTTTTTCATCTTTTTTATAAGAACATCTCTCTTATTCAAAGAAACAAATTATCCTTTTTATTATTACAATAAGCAAATGTATAAATAAAGTCTTGTCTGATGTAAATCTTTGTTAGTCTCAATTTACTAAACCTTGTATCTTTACTTAAATGTTAGGTTCAAGAGACTTTTGGTTAGTTTTCAACAGTGTTATTAACTCAAGTTAGTCTAACGTTTATTCTCTAAATCATGGGTCTGATCTTTTTACCTCACCCCAAAGTAAAGCAGAGCTATTTACAAAGAAATTTTACTATCATTTTCTCTCGAATGTAATGGACATACTCTTCCTGACAGTTAAACAAAATAATCCATTGTTAAGCATCTTAATTAATCTGGCTACCAATACTAAAATTAATTCTCAATTAAACACTTCTACCATTTGTGCTTCAGACAAGATTTCCATCATAGTCTCAAAAAAGTGTTCTTCAGAACTCTCAACAATTTTTGCTAAACTTTTAAAAAGTGCTAAATACATGGTTCAAATTTTTCAAAACTCTAGAAAACACCTTGACCTCTCCAAGTATCCTACTCTTCACTCTGTTATCAGTTTCTTATAATTTTCTATGTAAAATTTTTGAGGTTATTAAATTATTTCTTTCTAACTACAGTAGTAAAGTTATTCTTGAAGGTCTACCTTTTACTTTATTTCAAGTAACTTTAAGAGAACCACAAGGTTCTATATTTTCTCCTGTAATATTTTTTATCTACAATAACAGCCATAATGAAATCTAAAGTGAATAAATTTGTTGATGAATCCACTTTACACGCTTGTCTTGAAAAAAAATCATCTTTAATTGCTTAGAACAAGCAGCCAATTTTAAATCTGACCTCTCTTCTGTAACAGCCTAAGGCTTGCTGTGGCTTATGGATTTAAATTCTGGACTTAAAATCCACAATTTTTGTTAGACAACAAAACTCATTTATCAACTGCAAAAAAATATTACAATATTGGTGGCATTCCTATATTGACAAATAACAACCCTCTTACTCTCAGACAAAGTCTAAAATCACATTGTAAATATAATAAGATCAGCTTTATCTGCCAAGGTTGGGCTACTCTTCCATTGTTATAAGATTGTATTTCTTTCTTTTTTCTACAAATACAATCATAGTCAATGCTCAAACAAACTTTTATCTCTATAACGATAAACTAAAATTCATTCTCAATTGGCCGATTTATTTAACAAGTTGCGTCCTTTGACTGCATTTGTTCCTTCATGCTATAAATTCTTTTTAGAGCATGATAAATAATTCAATTTTTTTCCCTGAACATCAAAAAAATCTTATAACTGTTACAAAACTTCATATTTTCCTTTTTTATACAACTTACACTTTTTATGTTTTTAGTTATAGGTTTCCTAGTATTTTAACTGGTTCTTTATTTGAAAGTAACTCATTGCTTAATAGTGGTTGCTTGCAATCTTGTTGGAAGTAAATTAAATTTTAAAATATATAAATATATGCCAGTATGTATTAAATAGTAAATGCAAGCATAAAATTATAATGTATTAAGTATTATAAATTTTTTTCTAACCCCGGCTATCAACCCATGCTAAATCTTATAATTTTGGCGGGGCCGGGTTAGCAAAAAGTCTTATTTTTAGCTGGGGCCGAGGCCCTAATGTTTTGTAAAATTTATTTACATTTTCAAAATATTATTTTACAATTATAAAACTATAAAAAAAAATGTCTGTCAAACATCTGGAGGTCTTTCCAGACATTTAGCAACTAGAATAAATGAGCGCCTTAAAAGTGATAAACAATCTCATATATTTAAACACTTAAATTTATCTGTTAATTTCAGAAGTCTTGCTAACTGTGATTCTTTTGAGATTTTGGATAATGCCCCAACAAAACATAAATTAAAAATAAAAGAAGTCCTCCACATTATGCTATAAACTTAACTTATTTTTACTGTCAGCTTATTATTATTTATATATTTTTCTTTTTTTTGATTTAGTTACTTGGTAAAAATCATTTTGGTTTATAAATTTTGTTCGTTATTATTTTTCTGTAAAGACTTTTATTTTTTAATTTTAATTTATTTCAGAGTTTTATTATTGTAAAATAATCTTTTGAAAATGTAAATAAATTTTATGAAACATTTTGAGAATAAATATATATTTATATAACCTGCAGAAGTAACTCCTTTTAACTACTCCAGGTCAGGTCAAGATAATCGAGATCAATCTTGCTACTGGTATCACGTAACCCAGTACCACCTGCCACAAGCCCTGCTGCCTTGCAGAGTGTGCTCTTCTTAGGCAAAGGCTTGGAGAAATAAACTCCGTCTAAAAATTCCCCTGCCTTGGGGCTCTTGGTTGAGTAAAGGCTAGAGATGGTGTCTCGATAAAAACACTCATCTTGGGCAGATGTTAACTGCATCCAGCTACTGTCTTGTAGAAGGCCTCCTAGGCAAAGCCTTTTGCCTAGAAGGCCTTCTACAAGACAGTAGCTGGATTCAGTTACAATTTTGCTAACCAGCCTCGAACCCCTTTTTCATCTATTAGGCTGGCGTAGATGTAACCTGTGTTACACTGTTTCTTGCCTAGGATGATGAATGCTGAATCTCCTTGACTCTACTCATAGTATTTTGCTTATGCCTCCTTGATAATGGCTTTACAACTCTACCTGTTATCTCCATATGAGGGTACAGCTCTAAAACTCAGTTTAATGGTTCTGAGGCCGGCTGGTAGTAAGGTTTCCCGAACTCTGTGGTAGCTCTCAGAGAGGCTGATTCCATCAACAGCTGCAAAATATCAGAGTGTTAACAGTGCCATGTTGCGCATGGATGGTGTCCCTGTTAATGCTTTTGGTGTGCATTGTCAAGGCCACATAAGAAGCCCTATGTCACGGCATTGGGTTAATTAACAGGACTGAGACAACTGTATAGCTCATTGATTAGGAGGCTGTGCTCTATCTATGAATGAGTCAAGTTCTCATTAAACCCAAATCATGACCAAAGTAACCAAAAATTTAAAACCTAAAAAACCATCCCCACCACTTAAATATTTTAATATATCTTTTACAAATATTCGCGGTCTACGAAGCAACTTTCCATCAGTTGAGTCTTACCTCCTGCAAAATTCACCAGACTTGCTTGCACTCAGTGAAATAAATTTAAATTCTGCAATTACTTCTTCAGATGTCAGTGTTGATGAGTACTATCCTTTGATTCGTAAAGACTCAAATAATCACATGCTAGGTTTAGGGGTATACATACGCATTAATTCCCCTATTTGTCGTGAAATCAGGTTCGAATCCTTTGACCATTCTTTTATGTGCTTTCGCCTAGCACCTCTTCACTCTATCACCTTTCTCTTTGTTCTTTATCGTTCTCCTTCTTCCCATGATTGCACTATCTAAGATGTTATCTCTGATCAAATTGACCATGCCCTCTCTCTTTATCCCTCTGCCAATATTGTTGTTGTTGGTGATTTTAATGCCCATCACACTGAATGGCTTGGCTCTAACACCACTGATCCTGCTGGAACTAAAGCCTTTAACTTCTGCGTTTCTCAATCTCTTACTCAGATAGTTTACTTTGTGACTCGTTTTCCTGACAACCCTAATCATTTACCTTCACTCCTTGACTTATGTCTTGTCTCTGACACTAGCTTATGTTCAGTTTCTCCCTTTTCTCCCTTAGGTGGTTCTGACCATGCAATGATATCTATAAATCTTTCTTCTTGTACTTCTTTTTTGAGCTCACCTTATCATCGCACCACCTACTACTACCCTAAAGCTGACTGGGATTTCTTTCGTGATTTTCTTCGTGATGGTCCTTGGGCTGATTTTTTTTCTCTTTCAGCTGACAAATGCGCCTCCTACGTAATCTCCTGGATTCAGGCTGGAATGGAAGTTTTTATTCCTTCACGTCAGTTTCAAGTAAAAAATAAATATAAAAAGTGCTTTCTGATGCTAAACTCCATTATTCTCAGTTCACTAAATGTCGCATCTTATCGCAGAAGTTAGGCTTTAAAGACTTTTGGAAAATCTTCAACAGCATTATTAACAAGGGTAGATCTAACATTCTATCTCTTATTCATGGAACTGATTGTATTACCTCTCCCAAGGATAAGGCAGAACTATTTGCAAAGAACTTTTCTTCTAATTTAACTCTTGAATCTTATGGACATTCTCTTCCTTCCATTCCAGTCAAACAGGTTGACCCATGGTTAGACATTCAAATCACTCCGGCTTCTGTTGCTAAAGTCATATCTCAATTAAACTCGTCTACAGCTTGTGGCCCAGACAATATTCCTGTCACAGTCTTGCAGAATTGTTCTCCAGAACATTCTTCAATTCTCTCTAAACTATTTAACAAGTGTTTGACTGAGTGTTGTTTTCCTGCTTGTTGGAAAATGGCATCTGTGGTTCCAATATTCAAAAACTCTTGAGAAAAATCTGACCCCTCCAATTATCGTCCGATCAGTCTTCTTTCTGTTATTAGGAAGGTCTTTGAGTCTTTGATCAACAAATTCCTCACATCTCATCTTGAGTTAAATAAACTACTGTCAGACAATCAATACCGTTTTCGATCCTCTTGCTCTACGACCGACTTGCTAACTGCTGTAACTGAAAGATTTTATCGTGCATTAGATGGAGGCAGTGAGGCTAGGGCTATTGCTCTCGACCTATCTAAAGCTTTCGACAAAGTTTGGCATGCTGGTCTTCTCCATAAGCTTGCTTCATATGGTGTTTCTGGGAAAGTTTTTGAGATTATCAAATCATTTATTTCTAACTGATTTATTACAGTCATCCTTGAAGGCCTACACTCTTCTTTATTTCCAGTAACTTCTGGGGTTCCCCAAGGTTCCATCCTGGGCCCTGTTTTATTTCTTATCTCCATAAACAATCTTCCTGACAACCTTTTATCTAAAGTAGCTCTTTTTGCTGATGACTCAACTTTATACTCCTGTCTTGACAAAAAGTCTTCTCTTTTTGATCGCCTAGAACAAGCAGCTGATCTTGAATCCGATCTCACTTCAGTAATAGATTGGGGTTCACAGTGGTTTGTGAATTTCAACTCTAAAAAAACCCAGTTGCTTACTGCAAACAACTACCGTAATATGGTCAACATTCCTATGTTAATGAATGGCAATCCTCTTACTGAGTCGTCCTCTTTACGTCTTCTTGGATTATGGCTTACTACTGACCTTTCGTGGAAGCCATATATACAATCGATTGCTAAATTGGCTTCTGCTAAGGTTGCTTCTCTTTATCGTGCTCGCCATTTCCTTACTTCTGATTCCATTCTCTACCTCTACAAATCTCTTATTCGTCCCTGTATGGAATACTGTTGTCATATTTGGGCTGGTTCTTCTAACTATTCACTTTCTCTTTTTGACAAGGTCCAAAAACGCGTTGTAAATGTTGTTGGACCTGGACTATCTGCTAAGCTTGAACCTCTTTCCCATTGTCGTAAAGTTGCATCTCTTTCTCTTTTCTACAAATACTATCATGGTCACTGCTCAAAGAAGTTATCTTCTCTAGTTCCATCAACTAAAATTCGTTCTCATTTTACTTGTCATTCAGCTAAGTCTCATTCATTTACTGTATCTGTCCCTGCATGCTCTAAAAACTTTTATTCATCTAGTTTTTTTCACCGCACTTCAATCCTTTGGAACTTTCTCCCACCTTCATGTTTTCCTGACTCATACAACCTTCAACTTTTCAAGTCTTCTGTCATCCGTTTCCTTGCTCTATAACTCTGTAACTCCCAACTTAATAGTGGTTGCTTGCAGCCTTGTTGGGAGTGAATGCAAATATAAAAAAAAAAAGTTATTGGAAACAATGTTTTTCTCCCCTTGACGATAAACAAAACATATTTAAAGAAAAAAAAATGAAAAATGGACAATTTTTTCAATAAGTTGTAAAACATTTATTGTTTTACAAGGAAAAAACTAAAAAAGCATCTCATTCCAAAGGTCTTTTTTTTTACTTTCTACTTGTATTAAAATTTGAAAGTAACTTGAAATAGGTCACTAAAAAAGATCATTTTCAGTTATTCGATCTAAATTCCTTTACCCTTTGGAGGTTCGAATAACCGGGAGTTTACTGTATATATGTGTGTATATATATATATATATATATATATATATATATATATATATATATATATATATATATATATATATATATATATATATATATATATATATATATATATATATACATATTTTACAACTAAAAATAGTCATATATCCATACATTAATTACCTAAACAAAACTTTCTTCAATAGGTGTAACTATAAATTATAAATTTAAATCATAATATGTACTTTGTTCATAAGATGGAAACCAGTTAAAACCATATTATTCCTCGATCCTTATCCACCAAAACTTTACTAAATAAAATTACACTGGTAATCAAACTACCACAAGTCAAATAATTTAGACAGTAATATTAAAATCAGATTTGACCAATAGTTAATATTAGGTGTTATTTTATTCTTTACCATTTAAAAAACAAAGAAAAGTTAAATCAAAAAAGAAACAAAAGTATTCACAAACATAATTACTTACATTCGTTGGAGTACTCTGTAGTTGGGAAATTAAATCCTTTGCATACTTCTTTATCTTTTAGTAACTATTTAGCAAAATAAATTTAAACAAAAATATGTAAAAACTAAAATGTATAATATGTGTAAAAAGATTACAGTAAATATCTAGGCAATAATAATATCATAAACAGATTCAAAATATTACTTATTCGAAAAAAAAAAATTTTTTTTGGTATAGTACTTTAACATTAGTATAAAACTGTAATAGTTTTTTTAACCATATAAAACAATTAAAATAGCAATGAGTATTGTAAAATTTAGTGACCTCCAGTTACTTTAACTCTTTTAAGTCTGAGCTTGTTGCAGAAATCATCGATTGGAAAATGATTATAGGCAGTTTTCATTGCATGAACACCAGTTGAACAAAATAAACATCCATCTTTCACCTAACAAGATGGAATAAATGCCTCTGCTTCAACCCTGTTTAAAAATAAAACAAATAAATCCCAAGATTGTCAAGCCATTATATTAGATTATCTAAACAGGCAGCATTTGTTTTATTTACATATATATATAATAATCAGGCTTCGGCAGGAATGGCGGGCTATAGCCCGTGTCCGTCTAAGCACCCGTCTAAGTCAGTTTAGACGGGCGAAATAAAGCCCGTCTGAAACATAAGTTTTGTGTAAAAAAAAAAGATGAATATTTTGATGTTTTTTTATTAAAATACTCTTTTAAAACTTCTCTCATGACATAATTTTAATATGGATAGCAAACTCCAACTTATAATTGTTTATATTTAAATATAAAAATTAAACAATGTAATCATTATTGTATAACATGATGTAGAAAATAATATAACTAAATCTTACAGTTTTTTAAACGACGATAACTGTTTGATATAATACCAAACAGTTACCATATTATGTTCAAAATTTAATAACTATTATATTAAATAGGGAAATATACGCATGTGATGCACAAGAAGTATCATGTTGTTTTGGTTTTTCAATGTTTATAATAATAACGATAATAAACTAATTATCCATGTATTTCGCTTTTTTCCGATAAACTAGTTTGTCTTACTTTAAAGACATTTAAAGTGATATTTCCGCGTTAACTTCACGTTTTTTCTTAATGAGACGGCGGTTTATTTAATATGCAATTATATAACTCGTTATTGAAAATGAAATATCTCATTAAAAATCAACAAACGTCCAATCAATTTTTGTAGATAATATAAATAGCGTTGCTTTATAGTCATGAAGTTATTCAAGTTATCCAGTCATTCAAGTTTTTCAAGTTATTCAAGTTTTTCAGTAAAGATAGTAATGGCATCATCTGGTAGAAGAGTTACATTAGCAACATTTTTGAGTTGGGGTAAAGATGGAGTCTGTGGAAAAGAAACTGAGGTGAAGAATGGAACAACTTTTGTTGTGAAGATTTGGTGTATGGTTTGTATAAAATATAAAAAAGAATTGCTTCGCGAGTTAAAAGGTCTGGCAAAATCAAACGCATTAGCATTTATAGAGGGCACTACGAACGTTAAAGCTAGCAACATACATACGCTTATATACATGCTTATATTGTATATAAAGTAACGGAAGCCCCGGTATCTTAAGAAATTATTAGTACTTCTAAATAAAAACTTATTTTATTAAAAGAAATTAGATTTCAAATTTTTTATTCACGTATCAGAATAACTATTTCCGATCAGGATAGGCATAGGTAAAGCAAAGTTATAAAAATATAAATAACAGTTTAAGTTTTTAATTTGCACGCCCAATAGAATGCAAGAGTATATAAATAATTCAATTTGAAAAATAACATAGTTACGTATCATATTACCAAGCTAATACCAAACAATTCTAAAACTACCAAGCTCATTGATTCAAGGTTAAAAAAAAAAAAAAGGTTTCAAACTATTTGCTGAATAATTAAAAAAATTAGATTTTGAAAATATTATGTAATATTTTTATTCACAAAGAATAAGAGAAACGAATGAACTAAAAAAGCACGATAAAAACCTGTATAATTTAATCGAATACTTGAATAAAACAATAATATATAAATATACTCAAAAAGACTTCGGTAAAAAAACACGTTAGGATGCTTGAATAAGGAAACGTGATGAAACGCCATGGTTGTTTCGAGGATTTTTCCCGTCGTTTTCACGTTCATTCGTTTGACTATATCTGCCAGATATTATCTGGAATAAAGATTAAAAAAAAAAAGCATAAAAAACTGAATAAAGTTCCTTCGAGTAAGAAATCTAAACAAAAGCAACCATAAAACAACTAACCCACGTGAAACGAAATTAGATCTGTGCAAGTGAAAACTTTGAAAAACAATTATTGAAATTTTAGTTTTAAGTATTATCCTACTCATTTACTGCAGTGTTTTAATTACTTAAGTAATTAAGCATTTTAAACAGTTAATCGCTTTCTAACATATTATTTTAGTGCAATTCACAAAATAGTTAATATTCAATGACATTTTTATTCAAAAAGAAGAAGAGAAATAAACAAATTTAAAAAAAATAAAGTTCAAACTTTAGAATTTTTTTTAAAGTTTAAAAATATATATATATATATTATATTATATATATATATATATATATATATATATATATATATATATATATATATATATATATATATATATATATGTATATATATATATAGTAAAACAAAGAAACATGTAAATAATCGATATGTATATATGTATATACTATATACATGTATATATATATATATATATATATACACATTATTTACATATGTATAAATGAATATATAAATTTTTTACGTGTATACACATAGCTGTCATGTTTTGAAAATGTTTACAATGGAGACTTGGAAAAACTTTAATGCAACACAGTATATATATATATATATATATGTTATATATATTATATATATTTATATATATATATATATATATATATATATATATATATATATATATATATATATATATATATGTATATATATATATATATACATATATATATATATATATATATATATATATATATATATATATATATATAATATATATATATATATATATATATATATATATATATATATATGTATATATATATATATATATATATATATATATGTATATATATATATAGTGAAACAAAGAAACATGTAAATAATCGATATGTAAATATGTATATACTATATACATGTATATATATATATATATACACATTACTTACATATGTATAAATGAATATATAAATTTTTTACGTGTATACACATAGCTGTCATGTTTTGAAAATGTTTAAAATGGAGACTTGGAAAAACTTTAATGCAACACAGTATATATATATATATATATATATATATATATATATATATATATATATATATATATATATATATATATATATATATATATATATATATATATATATATATATATATATATATATATATATATATATATATATAAATATATATATATATATATATATATATATATATATATATATATATATATATATATATATATATATATATATATATATATGTATGTATATATATATATATATATATATATATATATGTATGTATATATATATATATAGATATATATATATATATATATATATATATATATATATATATATATATATATATATATATATATATATATATATATATATATGCATATATATATCTACTATATCGTATTTATATGCGCAATAGCTCACTTTTTTTGCTAGCCTCATTTAAGTGAGCGTTTTTAGAAAACGATGAAGGAAAACAAAAAATAATGAATGAAAAGGTTGCTGACCTATACCAAACCCTCAGTCGATGTAGCAGCATTCCACTGTGAGTCAGGCTCTTTGTCAGTTGATGTATGTACTGAAGCCCCACGCAGCAGGCTATTTGACATTAGGTGAGTATGACATCATCATGCCCACCTAACTCAGCAGTATAAGATATATACATATATATATATATATATATATATATATATATATATATATATATATATATATATATATATATATATATATATATATATATATATATATATATATATATATATATATATATACATATATATATATATATATATATATATATATATATATATATATATATATATATATATATATATATATATATATATATATATATATATATATTTATTTACATATATATATATAAACATATATAAACATATTATATTTAAGACTAGATATTTTCCCTGATAAAACTAGAAGCTCTTTTAAAAAATGGAAATAAAGTTACTTATCCAAACATCTTTTTATACAAAAAACAAACGTTACAATACATAATTTTATTATTTGTGGAAGATTCATACTGATGTATGTACTTGATAATTAGGGTGAGGTGTTCAAAGTTTTTTAAATAAACTTAGAATTTAGTATGTTAACAGACTTGATTTAGTCTGACTTATTATGTTTTATTATTTTTGATAATATTTTACACATCTGAATCTTATAAAAAGTATTATTTCAAACTAAGAAATAACATATTTAAAAAAGTTGAACATTTTATTAAAATGGTCAACTTAAAATAAATATAAAATCGATAAAAATAATCTGAATAAATCGAAATTACCCTGAGATATTTGTATATTTATACAATTTGATATAAAACCTAAGTTTTAAGTTATTCTCAATAAAAATAGGTTATAAAATACAACTTTATTAAAATATTTTTAAACCATATGCATGCATTCTATTATGTTTTCCTTGCCTTTCCATTACGGCAAATTATTTTTGTAATTGAGACAATAATTTTCAATGTGCCACTTCCTCAACGTTGTCAAAGAAATGTTTTATTAATGTTGGCAAAAAAGTAACACTTTTTCAACGTTTTTTGATTACTACACTTTCAACGTTGGTATATGTAACGTTGAATGAGCGTTGTTTTATAAATAGGTTAAATACGTTAAAAAAGCAGCTGATGTCTAAGGTTGATAAACCATAAACTTTGCGACGTTTTTACAGTGGTTATTTGCGGACTTTGATTCAACGTTGAATAAACGCGATTTTTTGAGAAGATAAGATACGTTTAAATTTATACGCTTATTCAACGTTGAAAATGTAACGTTTAAAAAGCGGTTTGTTTTCAACACTGATCTCAAAATAATAACTGGTTAGCGTATTCTATTGCTTTTTGTAAAAAAAGGTTGAAGTCAATTTTGGCCTACCAAGATGGCGTCGGTTAGAACTGTTAGCGGTTTGAATCGTATAAAAATTCTGATCGAATAAGTAAAGTAAACTATTTTTAAGGAAAATAAGATGGCGAAATAAATTTATTTGATTCCTAATTGTTAAAATATTCAGCAAGTATACACTTTTTAAATAAGGTTTATAATTTATGTACCTTTTAGTTCTTAATTACTCAATGCTGTGTGCTAGAAGGTTAATAACACAACTGTATGGTAAACAGCAACGTTGTCTACCCACAATCTTTAAAGAATTTTAAAATCATGAGTTTTGTTGGTAGAAACATTATTGTACAAATGCTGTATGAACTATTAGCTGAGAACTGTGAGTCCACACAACTCAGAGGTTCCTTCTAGGATTATAAAAGTCATTTTATTATTTAATGCATTAACTTTCTGGACTCAATCAGTAAAAATATAAAACAATATTTATATTCCAAAGTAAAAAATATTCTCTCAATGACTTAAAAGTCATTGTCAAACTCAACTGTGAATAATTATTCCTCAAAGTTCGAAGGATAATTATTGACAGTTTAACACATATATATATGTATATATGTATATATATGTATATATCATATATATATATATTTATACATATATATATATATATATATATATATATATATGTATATATATATATATATATATATATATATATATATATACTTATATATATATATATATATATATATATATATATATATATATATATATATATATATATATATATATAAATATATATATATATATATATATATATATATATATATATATATATATATATATATATATATATATATATATATATGTATATGTATATATATATATATATGCACAAAACATATATATATATATATATATATATATATATATATATATATATATATATATATATATATATATATATATATATATATATACACTTAAATGTACTAGGTGAGTATATTTGTGTGAATGAATACAGTTAGTATATTTATTTGTATTAAAAGAAAAATCTATTAAAATTAAACTAAAATAATTAATGATAACAAACTCTAGAAGGAACCTCTGAGTTGTGTGTACTCACAGAGCTCAGCTAATAGTTCATGCAGCATATGTACATTACAAGTATCTGTTTAAAACAGATTTTTTAAAGACTGATTCATATTAAACAGATACTAATTCATATTAAACAGATACTACTTATTTTAAGTTTTTAACATTATCAACTTTTTTTAGGTTTCTTTTTTTTTTCTTTAAAAACTTACTTTTGTCATTTATATTTATTACTTTTATTACTGCTGCTTTTATTATCACTATTATTATTACAGTTATTATAAATACTATTGTTTTTGCTGTTACTTTTGCTCTATTAATGAATAAAGTTTTTATTGTTATTATTATTTTTGAAATTAATATTATTAATATAATTATTTGGTGTCACTCCTTTGATCAGGATTCTGCATGAGTGAATCCTTCCTCAATCAATTATTTATATTTATTCTTAATAATTATTTTTTGACTTTATTATTTATAAAATTTTAGATATTCTTATTCTTATTATTTTTTATTATTATTATTTTAACATTATAGTTATTCTTATTGTTATTATTGTTGGTATTATTGTATTATTCTTATTGTTATTATTATTGTTAACGGATATAAATACACATAACACAATCTTAAAGGCAGTTATACATCGCTTAAATCGAATATTTATTTAGTCGAACCGTTTTCCTTGGTCGCCTGGAGGGTCAAGATATCTGTAATTAACTGAAGTACAGATATCTTGACCCTCCTTTAAAAAAAGATCCTTTAGAAAAAAAAGTGGGTTAAATAAACCACTTTTTTTCTTAAAGCTCTTTTTTTTTATATTTTTATAAATACTACTACTACGGAATCAGAAATGGAAAACTTAGACAAATTGATTACCACCCATCCTAATAAGAGTAGTAGCAGATTAATACTATGCCCAAAAAAACATAAATAATACACTAACAAATATACATTTCCAAAAAGTAATAAAAACAATATATGTCAAGCAAATCAAAAAACATTAAACGATGAAAATAATAATCAATTAAAGTGCCATTATACAAATGTTACCTCATTAAGTTCAGATAAAGTAATTGAATTATCATTATTAGCTTCAACGTTAAACCTCTTATTATATTTATCCCTGAAACTTAGTTCAAAGAAGATTCTTTAGTTAATATTGAAAATTACTATTAATACAAATTTAACAGAAATGAGAATATTTCAAACAGAAATAATGGTGGCGGTGTACCAATATATGTTCATGACATTATATCATCATTTTAAATAAAAAACTCTCCAATGAATGTTCAAAAATCTGAACAAATTTGGTGCCTTATTAAGTTAATTATAATGCCGAAAAATCAAATGATACTAAAACTGAAATGTCAAACCAAGCTGACGATGAAATAATTCAAAGTATACAAACAGCAAAAATAGAGTTAAGCAGAAAAATATATACAGGTATACTCATATGTGGTGATTTCAGTTTTCCATACATCAAATGGTATGAAGATGGTTCTGTTTAAGTTAATGGTAATAAAAACAGCACTGGTACTAGAGTTGTAGACCTTATTAACAATATAAACATCATTCAAAATGTAACATTTCCAACATTTATCGAAGAAAATAAAAATGCCTAAAAATAAACTGGACCTGGTCATAACTGAACATCAGACCGAATCAAACACATATAAAATTTACCATCACTTGGATTAGCTAGTCACGGTAATAAAATTTATAACCAAGGGCATTTGATACTAAAATTTAATTATAATTTATCAAGTAATGAAAATAAAACTAATTATTTAACATTAAGTACAATTACCATAAAATTGATTTCAATTCTATCATTAAATGTTTTCAAAGATTGGTTAAAAGAATTAAGCAACTTAAATAAAATGACAATTAAAACCTATTTTTGAATCATTATAACTACATAACAAATATGTTTGTACCAAAAGTGATGTGTAAAAACAAAAACAAACCTCTTTGGCTCAATCGTACCCTTTTAATCCTCATGAATAAAAAAAATAGATTATGACGTAAAAATCAATTTTCAAATTGGAAAATACCTGAGCTTGTTAAACAATACAGAAAATTAAAATCTTCTTTACAAGTACAAAAAAGATAACCTATTAAAAAATTTGAACATAGTTTAGCATTTGATACAAAAATCCCAAACGTTTGTTTAGTTTTGCTAATAGTTCACGCAAATATCTATGTTTGGACTTTTCAAAAGCTTTTGACAAAATCTATCACAATTTGTTAATTATCAAGCGTAAAGCTTATGGAATAGTTGGAGATATTCTTGATTGGATTAAAGACTTTCTCACTAATAGGAAATAGAGAGTAGTAATTGGAGAACACTTATCTGATTGTATTCACGTTACGAGCGGTGTCCCACAAGGCTTAGTGTTAGGCCCAATACTTTTTATAATTTAAATCAATGACTTGCCAGTCAATTTCAAATGAGTCAGTAAACTATATGCAGACGATTCGAAATTAATGAATGAACTACGAGTAAAAACTATTCTCTCTAGCTCAATAAGGTCTACAAAAACAGTTTGTACGCGAAGTTAACAGAAATTGCAATCCACGATATTATTTTTTTAGTAATCGTGTTGCTAAGCATTTGAATGCACTCAATGATGCAACAGTTAACTGTTCTTTGACTAACGAATTTAAACGAATGCTTGACAGTTTAATTGATAGTTGCCTATTGTCTATTTAATAGGATCTGTATCCTATTTGCAACTCATGTACTATTATTATTATTATTATTATTATATATATATATATATATATATATATATATATATATATATATATATATATATATATATATATATATATATATGTATGTATATATATATATATATATATATATATATATATATATATATATATATATATATATATATATATATATATATATATATATATATATATATATATATATATATATATATAGGGGAGAGCGGGGTTGGTTGTCACAACGTTTACTATAGGAAATGTAGAAAAGGTATAGAACTTTAAAACAATACAATGGAAATGTTATATAAAACTGTAATTTTCAGCTTTTTTTAGCGTGTAGGAAAAAAGTCATTTGTTATAAAAGTTATTTGTCAAAAAGAGGTAGGAAAAATTTTATGATTCTTAATTACATTCATCTATGATTCTTAATTACGCACCTGTTAAAGCATGGTTGCTAATTATTAAAAAAAAAAACTAAAATAGAAAATAATAGTAAGAATCGTAAATCATTTATTAATGGAAATAAAAAAGAATTGATAAAGTCAAATTTTGCTCAAAAAAAACTTCTACAATTTTAAGTTCATCTAAAGATGAAGACTATATATGTACCTATTGTTGTGAATCATTTGATTAAGTGAATAGTGGAATTTGCTAAAAATGGGCTCATGAAGAATGCACACCAGGCTTACACCAACTTATATGTGAGTTGTGATCTTCATCGAACAGTTTAAAAAATACAATTTTTAAAAACAATTTTTATAGTCATAAAATAAATTTGTTTATAGTGTTACATCACTTTGGATAAACTAAAAAAAAATTTGTTTGAAAATTAAGTTTATTAAATTGTAAAAATGCTTAAAAATTATTAACGAAATCCACTGGAAAATCGCAAAACTGATACACTGTTGAATAAACATTGCGGTCTGTTTCTATAAAACGTGTGTTGTTTGTCTCACACAGTTTGGTAAAGTCATCTAAAACTCAAAAGATTACTCCTGCAATTGAAACAATGATTAAAATCTTTGTCTAGAA